GTTGGAATCCCAGCTACTTCCTGTGAGAAAGATGGAGCAGTCTGCTTCCATAAAGAATTATAGCCTTGAAAATCCAATGGTGCAGTTCTATTCTGTCCTACTGATTTGTTATAAGTCAGCATTGACTCAATAGCCATGAATTTGGTTTGTGTTTAGCATATATCATCTCCATCTGATGATACTAATTTCTGTGGATTTAGACTTAAATCATTCATTTCCACTGTATGTGCATTTAATGATCCTCTAGTCTACAGGTATTGTTGAAATAAGTTGAATTTCTTGTCACACGTTTGTTGCCCAGTTAAATATATACTGTAAGGTGAACTTTCATCTGATTACATCATGATCAGGTTAATGGTCAGACACTGTGTTGAACACTGGAAGTTTATGAGTTAAATTGTTTCTGGCCCCTAAACCATACACACAAACATACAGAGCAGGGCTATAAGTGTGTTTTAGCTACGTACTAGGGGCTTTTAAGGTTCATGGAAATGAAGATGATGGAATTTTCCCATGAAATTTTAAAATAAGCATTTGAGAGAGCAACAAACTCTAAAGACTAAAAGGGAAGGTGAGGCCAGAATGAGTCATTTGGAGTTCTGGTAATAGCAAGGTTCCTAATTCAAAACCCTCCGGGGAAAAGTTGAGGCTATTTACTCCTATAAACTCACTGCCATTGAGTCATTGCTGACTCCCAGGGACCCCCCTGTGGGTTTCTGAGAATGTCACTTTACAGGAGTAGAAAACCGTCTTTCTTCCGCAGGGGTGCTGGTGGTTTCAAACTGCCGACCCCATGGATCGCAGTCCAGGGTGTAACCACTAGGGTGAGAATTGACTCATGCCATAGTGTTTTGCAATCTCTAGCTGAAGAGTCCTGGGGGGGCAGCAGGTTAGGTCTTAGGCTACTAACTGAAAGGGAGCGATTTTGAACCACCAGCCTCTGTTCAGGAGAACAGGTCTGAGGATGCTGTGAAGAAATCCTGCTCTGCCCTCTTTTGCCTCTGTGAGTTAGAATACGCCCGACAGCAGTGGACCATCTCCAGCTGTTCAACTGTATAGAATAACCTTCTCTTATGTCTACCTCAGTTTTCTCATCTCTAATGTGTGCATAATAAGAGTTCCGACTTGCTAGGTGTTGTGGTGAATTAAACATACTGATGAGTTAACATAGCACCTGGCACACAAGTGCCAGGATTCAATAGGTGAATTTTTAGTTATGTAACTTGAAAATACAAGTTAGAAAGTAATCAATATAGAGATGATCAGAGAACCTGCAACGATTGCACAAGGATAATTAGGTGGTCTAGCAATTGTTAGACAGATTTGGTCACTTTCTTTTATAAAATACTCATAACTTGGGACATGGCTCATTTATGATATAAACCCAATGGAGGCACAGCATCCACCTAGTTGAAGAGTATGCTCGGCTTGGTGTGTTGTGCATGAATTTGTGGTAAGAAACCCAGCTGATGTTATGGATTAAACATCGGCCTGCAAACTTCAAGGTTGATGGTTCAAATCCACCAGCAGGTCTTCAGGAAAAAGATGGGGCTGTTGGCTCTGGTAAAGGTTTATATTCTGCAAAATACCGACTAACAATTCTGCTCTATTCTGTAGGGTTGTTCTAAGTAAAAGCAACTTGTGGCAGGGGTTTCAGGTTGTTGGGTCTTTGCTTTGTTGGTGGTGGTGGTGGTGGTTTTTTTCTGAGGATAGCACTAAAAGATGTGCTATCAATACGATTTGATCTTCCTGTCCATGAACAGGGCTCTGGAGGTGCAATGATCAAGTGTGGGGCTGTGATCCACATGACTGGCAGTTTGAAACCACCAGCAGCAACTCCGCAGGAAAAAGACTGGGCTTTCTACTCCCGCAAAGCTGCCGTCTTGACAACCCACAGTGGGTTGCTATGAGTCAGCATTGACTCAGCTGCAGTGAGTTTGGTTTTGGGTTTCCATTTCTGTAGTGCTGACTTTAATTATTTCAAGGATGCCTGGTGACGTAAGAGGTTAGGACAGGACTACCAAACAAAAGTTCTGTGGTTTTAACTCACAGAAGAAAGCTGAGGCAGTCGGTGCTATGAAGATTTACAGCCTCAGAAAACCTATGTGGCAATTCTCCTTTACCTTATAGGGTCACTCTGTGTCAGAATCGCCTTTGGTTTGGTTTGGGATTAATTCTTTCAATCACACACGTTCACTGCCAGTATATTAATTCTAGCTCGTGGTGAATTTGTTACACAGGGCAGAACTGCCCCTGTAGGTTTCCAACATTCTAACACAGTCCAGGCATCGGAAGCACCACCAGCCTCTCGTGGAGTCACTGGTAGTGTCACACTGTTGACTTTGCATTATGCAGCCCAATGCAAAATCACCACTACTTTATTCTCCTTTCGATTTCTGCATATCTCCTGTTACATTTGTTTGTAAGTGATATCATAGATTTGTATTTGCTATAATAAATGATGTGGCTTGTTTTCAACTATTTTGCTGGTTAATAGAATTTCAATGGATATTTCAGTATTTCCTGCATATCCAGTACACAAAATTAGTTTAATTACATATGTACAAGGACACACGTCATTAATTTGAATATACACAGACACACACACACACACACAAAAGGAGTTGTGTTAGTCTGGGTAGACTAGAGAAACAAATTCATAGAGACACTCATATGTGTATAAGAAAGAGCTTTATCTACAAGAGCAATTGAATATTGAGAGAACATCCCAGCCCAGTCCAGATCAAGTCCATAAATCCAATATTAGCCCATATGTTCGATACCAATCTATAAATTCCTCTTCCGACTCACAAAACACATGCAATGAGGCCCAATGCAGGAAGATTACGGGCCAGAAGGTGGAAAGTCTTGTGGATCCAGTGGCTGTAGAGGCATCTCAGTGCTGGCAGGAGCCTCTACAAGGCTTCTCCAGTTCAGGGCACTAGCATAGCTCCCCGTGTTTTGTCAGCTGCAATGTCTCCCGGGGAGTGAATATGTGTCCCAACTGCAATGAGCTACGTAGTTATCTCCTTCGCACCTTCAAATAAGGTCATCAGGCTGTGACCTGATTGACATGCTAGACTCCACCCATTAATTCTGAATCTTCAAATTGACCCCAGATTATGTAACTACCACAGGGAGTTTCAAAAAGTTCATGGAATAAATGAATTAAAATAGAGTGGACTTTTCGCCTGAACTTTTTGAAGCCCTCTCATACACACACACACAAACACACATTCAATCATTGTGCTCTTTTTTTCCCTTGTCTTACTGTGCAATTTTTATACATAGGAGATTAAGTTTGATTAAGTTTAAATCCAACTTGATACAAATATTTATGCACTCTAACCCAAAAAATAGTGGTTCAGGTTCACCCTGGAGCTTTGAAGACAATAATGGTAATCTGCATCTGAAAGATAGCAGTCACTGAAAACACTATGGAGCTCAGATCTGCTTCTCACCATTGGGTCCTCATGAGTCAGAGTGCACTTGCCAGCCTCTGGTATTACTCCTAATAGTAACATGCAATTAATTATCCGTACCACTAATGACGTGTAATCTCTGATTTGCAAAGGAATTCCATTCTGATAACTCTATCTTAAATCAGTTCTAAATAAGTAAAATACCTCATTTTTCTTTAGATCTCATCATTATTGCTTTTTCTAGTAATGTCATTATAGTTCTATCAGGGTTTTGAACTGATAGAATTATAGTCTTAAAGTAAAAAACAATAGACATCTGCAAGTGAACATTGATGATAACATTAGCAAAATAGTACCACAACTATTACTAATGTTAAGATACACCCCCCAAAAAGACGAAAGACAGCAAAAAAGTAGGTGATTATAATGTGTTTCATTTTCACTTGAGTGTATCAAAAATTAAAGACTACTTGTATATTAACATACATTTTGATAACAACAGTCTGCATCTTTGTCTTTTTGGGTGAGTCAAACTGACTGTAATAGTACTACAACTATTTATATATTGATGAATGTCATTTGTATATATGTAATTTTCTTAAGAATTTTATTTTATGATTTAGTTCAAATTAAATAAATTCCTTGGATATGTATATTTATTCTGCTGTACATGCTATCAGGTATATTTTACATTCGATTGGGTTATGCGTTATTGAAATTTGCATAGATATCCTTGAAAACTGTCTGGGCATGTGCTTTGTATGTGGGTTTGTGATACTAAAGCTACTCTTCCTTTTATTCATTCTAATTAGGCTCTCATTTTCATCTCTGCATTGGTATCATTTATTTCAAAGTCAGCATTGTTGCTCATAATGTCCAATCCATTAGTAAATTCCTATTCTTGTTTCATAGCACATCCCAGCAGCCTTTGACTTTCTTACCTCTTTCTTCTAATTACCGAAGTAAGAGTCCTTTCTACGTACCTTCTCACTTTCCGCTATATCTCTTGATCCCTTTGCTGTGTTTCTTTACTGTGCAGATGACTAATGGAAACTATATTAAATGATAGACTTCCTTCCTTCCTTATTGCTCTCGCGAATAGAATTGAAGACAGCTTATGGAAATTAAAGACTGTCTTCAAGTTTTTGTTTGTTTTTTTAAATTTATAATTGTTCATTGCAACTATCATGAGTTCATTAATATTTTATTAATATAATAAAGGACAGATATCCAAGTATCTCGTATTCCATAAATATGCTAATTAAGAAGCAATTAAGCTTTCATCTCTCAAAATCTGGTACCCAGATTATTGTTTTAACTCTCTTAGCCTTATTTTAATATTGGATAACATATTAAATGTCTTTTAAACTGTTTTATGATGACTTGGTTACTGTCCAATGGAAACATCTAAATATGATTTGCTAGTTACAGATATTTGAACGTAATCAAATATATTTATATTAATGTACTTTCTTATTTAATAAAGTATCAGAATGTCTGTTTTTCATTATCTTATAACACACTAAATACATAAGAAAAAATACTAAGAACATTATAATTTAATTCTTCTCATTTCAGGCTGGACAACAACGCTGGTGGGAACAGGAAATTAAAATAAATGGGAATATTCAAAAGGGAGAACTAATCACATATAACTTGACTGAATTAATTAAACCAGAGGCCTATGAAGTTCGATTGACTCCTCTCACTAAATTTGGGGAAGGAGATTCAACAATTCGTGTCATAAAATATAGCGGTAAGTAGTCTTTTATTTAAAAATCTTTATTTGTATACTAAAATGTCTACTACATGCTGTTTTCAGTTTATCTACAAAATTTAGAAACAAAATAAAATTTAGTGAGTTGACTTTCTGGCCCATCAGCCAGGTGACAAAATATACCTTCCAAAAATATGTATGTAAACAAACTCAATACTATCAAGTTGATTTTGACTCCCAGCAGTCTTATAGGGCAGAGTAGAATTGTCCTTTTTGATTTTTGAGATTTAAAATACTTATAGAAGTAGACAGTCTCATCTTTCTCATGCATAGCAGCTAGTAGGCTTGAACCACTGACCTTGTAGTTACCAGCTCAATGCATAACCCACTATATCACCAGGACTTATAATATCTGATTGTAAATGTAAAGATAGACAAAAATGTTATAGTTTTCATGAAATTAGGTGATGCTAGCAATGTCTTTTGTCAAAAAATTAAATATTAAATTTAATTCTAAGTGCCTTTAATTCTATTTACATTTGTAGGCATACTTAGAAATCTTAAATATTTTCATTAATAAGAAGGTAGAGAAGCAAGTTCAAATGAAAGATGAAAAAATAATCTCACTGTAATATTGAGAATTTAAAATGACAAATTTTACAGGGTTTATTTTAATTATAGTGAATTCAGACATTAAACATATGAGTTGAAACAATTAAAATATGTTCGCTTCAGAGATTGCTTATAGAAGTAGTCCCTCTTATAAAACTAATTTGTAATTACCTTTGAGTTCTATGAAAAATAAAACAGTAGCTCATATTTAAAATAAAGTGATATCTTTCAAGAAGGAGAGTTATTTCTTTTTCAATGTAGGGAAGCTGATAAATGTAGTTTCTGCTATATGTTATCACTTTCATAATTTGAAATGAGAAATACAGAATCAGGAAAACAATGAACATAATGAGAATAATCTATGTTCCATTTGTAGAAATAGTATAAATGATTAATTGAGAATATACTCATTTAGTGAAAATATATACCAATGTATTAAGGTTACAATTATATATCAACATGTTTTGCATAAAAGGGTGTGTTTTGCTTATTTATGTTAAATTTTAACAGCATCCTATGTCTAAATTTAATGAAAATGATTATTAGTAAAATAAGCAATAACAACAAAATAGACATAAATTTCTCAGGTAAAATAGCTGCCTATCGTAGTCTTGATCAAGTCAAGGAATACTATCCATGTAGCATGAGTTTTTATATCAGAGATATAAACACCTACATACATTTACAATTGTATCTTTTAGGCTTGCTTTTTTAGGTTAAGTTTGTTGTTATTTTGATGAAAGCTGAAGTACTTATCCTCTTTACGTGCAAATCAATTCACATCTTGTATTGCAAATGCTATTAGTTTTATGATACAAATGATTCTCTGGTACTCAGAAACACAAGACATGTTACTTCTAATTTGAGAACTGTGTGTTTACATCTTTCTGTTAATGTAACTAAGATGACAGTGATATAATATGAGGATTGATTTATTTTCTGAGATACCAGGTTATGAACAGAATGGAGAAAAGCACCACATTCTCTCTCAGATCAATGTTTTCACTGTCAACTATCCAGATTAAACACCTAGATTATAGGCTGGTCTATTCTCAGCCTCAGGTTTGATTTCTGGACTTTGTTTCGAACTGGTTATGATCTAAAAAGCCAACAGCCCCATGCTTTGGAAAATGTACAAATCCCTCATACCATTTAGCAGTGATCTTTTTGCTACCTTAAGGCTGTTATTGCTGAGCTAGATAAGGTAGGTTCTATTCTTTTTTTTTTAATGCATTGCAGATATAATTATCCGTAGCCATAGTAAGAAAGATAATTTAGTTTGGATGAGGAATTCTGAGTCTTTTATTAGGATTACATTCATAAAAGACATTCAAGCCAGGCTAACTTTGCTTTTTCTTTCTCTTACAGCGCCTGTCAACCCTCATTTGAGTAAGTATTTTTTTCACTTTAAAAATGGAACTGTGTTTCACAATAAAAACAAATAAAATATATAACTCTAAAAATATTCTTTAATTACTTATTATTTACGTTAAAGTAGAACACATTAGAGTCAGTGGTAATAGTACTAAATATGAAGTTAAGACTTTTGAAGGGCACAAATGGGAAGACATGATTAATATTGATCATTGAAATCTATGTTTTTCTAAATATAGAACCTTGTCCCTCAGCCACTGAAATAACACACTGCCATTGAATTGATTCTGATTTATAGGGACCCTTTAAGATAGAATAGAACTTCCCAGTGAATTCTCAACATCATAAATATTTACAGGAGCAGAAAGAAAACCTCTTCTCTCTTCAAAGAAATGGCTGGTGAATTTGAACCATTTACCCTGTGGGTAGCCATGCAATGAGTATCACACGGAGTCACCGAGGCTCTCCTACGGGTTTAACATTTGCTACTTGTATAACAAGATGGACGGACACAGGGGTTACATCAATGGCTCAGACATAGGGAAAATTGTGAGGCTGGCGCAGGACCATGCAGTGTCTCATTTCTGATGGCCACAGGGTCACTGTGAGTTGTAGTGTACTCCATGGTACCTAATGACAACAACAACAACTTGGATAACTGAGGAATCCTTTTCTCTTTTATAGAATTGTGATTCTTTTATGGAATTTTTTGTTTTAATTTCTTTCTTTCTTTGACTTTCTACATGTAGGAGACTGATTACTTAGAAAGTTAGGACTTAAAAGGTTTAAATTATGTACAGCTCTCTACCTTGATCTGTTATGGGAAAGGAGATAACCTAATTATCACCCTCTTAATACTACTTCCTATTCAAATTAAGGCTCTAAAAGGATATCATTCTTGGTAACAACAAGACTGAAGACTCACCTCTGCACCCTACTCCCATCCCACATCATGTATTCTCCACCACCTTTAGTTAGTGATGGGAGTGCCTGATCTGTTTTCCTCGTTTTATTTTATTTCCTTTTTTTGCAATGGTCCTTCACCGACTATTTAACACAAACTAAACTATACCGTTTATGTCTTCCCTATATTTCTTATCAAATATCTGCTTTTACTTTATCTCTGCTCAACAAAATTATAATATTTAATATTTATATAAACCTTCATTACTTGTATAGAATTTTCATGCATAAGAGTTCATCCACTCACAGAGACCACCACCAACAAAAAACTTACTGGAGAGTCAATTCCAATTCCAATTCCAATTCATCCAAGTCATTGCTCATTACATCCACATATTACAGAGTAATCACTACCACATGTCACAGAATAGAATTGCTCCATAGGATTTTCTTGGTTATAATATTTATAATGACAGATTGACAGTATTTCCTCCTGTAGTATCTTTGGCTGGGTTTGAACTACTAACCTTTAGATTAGTAATCAAGTACAAACTGCTCATCCAGTCACTTTTCAGTCAACACAATGACTCTTTAACAAAGAATATATTATGAGCCCCATTTTGGTATTAAGTACACTGTAGGGTAAATTTTATTAAAAGGTTTAGTATAAATGCTGCTTCCTCTGCTGTCTTTCCACTTTTCATCTCCTATAACAACTTAACCTCACCTATGTTGTAACTATTTTAGTGTTGCTTATATCCCCCAGAGAATCCCAAGATCCAGAGGTTAGATCTATCTTTTCTTACCCTATACCTTTATGTCTGAAACCATCTCATTTTAGCAGATCCTCAATAGTCATTTTAAAATCAATCAATAAATGATAATATCAAGATGAATTCATTTCATAAATAAGTTTTCTGAGACTCTTACTAAGGAGCTTATTGGTATTTAATTATTCATATTAGTTGTAATTCCTTTAGTATTAAGTTCTTTAACTGTACTTGTAAAACTGTTTAAAGGAGTTGTCATAAAAATATTAACGTTAAGATATAGGAAAAGGCTGGACATTACATATTTCACTTCATGAAGGAAAAATTGAATAACTTCTATCTACTGAACAAAACAGGACAAAATAAAATGAAAAACCATTCTTATCTAGTCATTCTGACTCATCTTGACTCTATCAGAGAGAGTAGCAGCACCTTTCGGGGTGAGCATGGCTAGAAATCTTTACAACAGCAGACTGCCACGTCTCCCTCCTTCACTGTAGTCCCTCCAGAGCCGCGGGTGAGTTTGAACCATTGACAAACCAAATGCTTTGTTGATTGCAACACCATTGGTAAATATATGTATTGGGGGTTTCAAAGAGTGTTTGGAAAGTAGAATTTTTTTTAAAAGGCAGAAAAAAAAATACTTCCATCATTTCAATGCCAAATCATAGTGACCCCATAGGACAGGGTGGAATTGCCCCTGTGGATTTCCAAGACTAACTCTTTACAGAAGTAAAAAGTTCCATCTTTCTCCTATGGAGTGGCTGGGAGTTTTGGACTGTTGACCTTTCAGATTGAAGTCCAATGTGTAATCACTATACCACCAGGACTCCTTATAATTAAAAGCTAATGTAATTTTTCCATAAGCGTGACTGTTAAAGCAGCCAATACATTTTATAGGAAAGATGACATGTGAGCAGTCTACTGAAAGTTGAGTGAGGGTCTCTTAGGTGGAGAGGGTCAGAAAGGCACCCTAGTCATTAGAATGGAAGTTATGTTTAGATAGCAACTGAGCATAATTCAGTGTGGTTGAATTACGTTCTAAGTCAGAAGCATGTCTTAGATATGGACAGTGTTAAATAGAATTTCAATGTATTTTTAAAGCTTGGATGTCATCTTGGTGGAAAGGGTGGACATGTACATTGATGTGTCCAGATCTTGGATTTCTTTTCACTTGGCTATTAATAAATAGCATATTTAAGACTTTTTTTCAAGTCATGGTTACTACTATTTCTTACCAGTCATCTTATATGTAACCAATAAATATTCCATTTCCTATGTTAAAAAAACAGTTTTCAGTATTATATAATGCCCAATAATTCCATTGATTGGGCACCTTTTTCTTTTTAATGAATATTCAGTGTGATAGAAGATGACTGAGACAAGTTCAGAAAAGTAAAATAAACTTTACACAATGAATTATGTAGCTAATTGATCTTTTCTATGTTATTGACAGTTGCATAACTTTTTACCACCACCCCTTATTATTAGCACCCACCCCCCTTATTGTCTCAATCTCAAAAACATTTAAGGAAAATGCTTTCCCAAACAAAGCCATTCTTTATAGATTCTGCCTCTTAGTGAACTCTCAGAGCTCCAAACTCGCTGCCCTCGAGTCAATGCTGACTCATATTACCCTCCGAGGAGTTTTTGCGACAGTAACGCTGATGGGAGTAGAAACCTCAGTCTTTCTCCACAGAGCTGTTGATGGTTTCAAACTGCCAACTATGAGGATCGCAACCCAAGGGTTCCTTATAATGACTAGCCACACAGCATTCTAAAAGACAATGTACACATGTGTTTTATACAGTTGATGTATGTCTCGATTGTGATCAGAGTTGTATGAGCCCCCAATAAAATTATTTTTTTAAAAAAAGAACAAAAATTGGCCAACCTGCAGAAGAAAGCCATGACTACCTTTAGATTTTCTTATGGAAAGAAGCTCATATTTACTTTCACTTGGTTATGTTGTCTCTACCTCTTTGGTTCTTCTTCAGTTCTATAATATTTTCATTCTATTATTACAACTTATTTATTAAGGCATGTGATACATATTAAATTTTACTCTCTTTGTATGCCATTCTGTAAAACATGCTGACCACCAATTCATGCCCTCCCATAGATACCACCCCAGAGTGCCATTGCCTAAGCTACCATAGCCTCTACCCTGGGCCCTGGCACATATATTTTCTGTTCCGTTTTAATATAACATCTTATTTAGGTACAATATATGTATTATTATTCTCCACATTTTCCCACTACGCATATAGTTAATCAAGTTGAAGAAAGAGTTCAAATTGAGAAATACAGGGGGAAGATGATCTAAATTAAGGGAAAAAAATGAATTAAAGATCCTAAGTACTTCTGTTATATTTCTGAGTAATTTTTTAAGTAAAGGAAATGATTTTGTATTTCATCCTCAAAAGAAACAAATATAAGGTTTAAACTTTTCTTAATATATGTTCACATAACTACAAATTGTAGCTTAAATGAAGTGCATTCTCATGATAAGATGTAGATTATATGAGAATATTAGAATAAATGTTTCATATGGCTATAAATATTATATGAGTACTTATAGGCAATATTTACGATTCTCCAATAGTTATATTTTCAGAGAATTGATATCCATATCTATTTTTAAGATACCTGTATGTAGAATGAGTTCATGAAATATTTT